AGATCTCTGTGAGTTCAAGGCCAGCCTGGTCTAAAGAGTGAGTTCTAAGACAGCCAGGGCAACCCAGAGAAACCCTGTCCTGAAAGAAAACAAAAATGTATGCTTTACTGCCAGCAAAGCCAGGCTTCTTCCCCTCCAAAACACACCGCAGAGGGTTGTTCAAATTTAGATTTGCCTTCCAGCCACACTGTAGAGTGGACAGGCTGGGGGGGGTGGGGGGGGGGGGTGGTGCAGGGTACAGAGAGCACTGTTGCTGTGCTGGCCTTGAGGTCTCAGCAGGAGACCTCCAGGACTGAAAGAAAAAAAAAATCCCGAGGTGACTCTCCCAAAACTTCTGCCTTCTCTCTTCTGCCCTCCAACCAGCCTCAGGCTGTGAGCACTGGGGCCTCCCCATCCTTACCTCTGCCTTCCTAGCCTTATGTAAGAAATAGACTAACTCTTTAGAGCCGTGCCCCCTTCCCCCATTCTCTGTGTGTCTTAAGCCACAGCCTTTCCCCTGGTAAGCTGTAAGTAGCATCACACCCCCACACCCTGTCCTCATTGCTCCCCACACCTCTTCCCCTTCCACACCCCACAACCTGAGTTCCACCTGCCGCTGCCTCAGTTACCTACAACCAACCACCATAGTCCCAAAGAATTGAAATAGAAACTCCCAGAAATTACAGACATGTAATCTCAGAATTTAGTAGGCAGAGATAGGAAAAGTGAAAGCTTGAGGCCAACTTGAGCCATATAGTGAGATTCTCACTCTCTCTCTCTCTCTCTCTCTCTCTCTCTCTCTCCTCTCTCTCTCTCTCTCTCTCTCTCTCGTCACACACACACACACACACACACACACAGTAATTCATAAATATAAATTTCTGTGTCATTTTAAGTAGCATGATGGAATCTTTCATAGTCCCTATCGACACATCCATCTTACCTGGGTTGTGAATTATCTCTTTGTTGAGTGTTTCCATGGTGTATAACCTACCCTCCTGTTGAGTCTAACTAATAGCCTTTGTAGCAAATTGACTGATGTGCAGGACATCTACACTGTATACACAAGCCTATTAGGTATCTCAGTTATCAAGTGGATTGCTAGCTAATGTCTCTGAAACCTTGTCCCCAGGAAAGAAAAAAAGCCAGGGGTCCATCCAGATTGGTGACAGATCCCAACTACCCACCAATTATTTGCATAGCCTTGCTGTGAGTCAGGGACCATACTGTAGCACTGTGTACTGAGGTAGGGTGGGAGGGGATAACACTGTCAGTACACAAATGGATGCCCTTGAAGTGGGGATCTGTTCCAGGGAGAGTGCATAGACAGCTTGAGACCAACAGAGGAAAGACTGGAGTAGCCAGTGAGGGGGTTACTTAGACTCTGGGAAAATCCAAGTCTCTAAAGTCAGTGGACTACAAGCTCAGGAGCCCCTCCTCACTCAAAGTGTGTATCACTTGCCAATGATATTTACTTTCACTTGCCTTGAACTTTTTCTCTGTCTTTTACTTCTTTAATCTATGGAGAAGAAAAACTTGAGCCTTGAACTGTAACTTATCCACACAGTATGTACTACCCTCCTGTTAGTCATTCTGTGGGTGTCTATTATCAGACCTACTGCCATGGTACCATAGTGTTTCTATTTTATCGTTCATCTCTACAGTGCTTAATTTATAAACTATCCCTAGGTATGTATTTTTTTTTAAGAAAAAAAAAGGATATATGGGGTGTCTTAGTTAGGGCTTCTATTGCTGTTAAGAGACACTCTGACCATGACAACTCTTATAAAGGAAAACATTTAATTGGGGTGGCGGCTTACAATTTCAGAGGTTTAGTTCATTATCACCATGGTGCAGCGTGGTGGTGTGCAGGCAGATCTGGTGCTGGAGAAGGCAACAAGGAAGTAGCCTGCCTCACTGGGCATGGCTTGAGCATATATGAGACCTCAAGCCCGCCTCTGCAGTTCCACACTTCCTCCAACAAAGCCATACCTCCTAATAGTGCCACTCCCTCTGGGGCTATTTTCTTTCAAACCACCACATGGGGTTTGTTGTGACTCTTAGAAAGTAACAAAGGACAAAAGAGGATGTGTTAGTTAAAATACCAAACAACTTAAGTGGGGAAGGGTTTATCTTGCTTCAGTTTGAGGGCATATAGGCCAGCATGGTACAAAAATCACAGCTGCAGGAACACGAGGCCTGGTCCCAATACCCATGCAGTCAGAAAGCAAGTGTGTGACTCAGTTTCTCCTTTTCATTTCAATCTAGGACCCCGTTCCATGATGCTGCTCACACTCAGTGTGAGCCTTCTTGCCCCATTAATTCAGTCTAGAAACTCCCTCACAGCAAGCCCAGAGTTCTCTCTGGGTGATTCTAGATTTGTCAAGCTGGCAGTCAGGATGGTGTCTGTGTGTAGGAGATTATGGCAGGAGGTCTCAGGGTTGCAGTGACCATTGCTCTCCCAGAGCCAGGACTGCCAGGGACAAATTAGTATCAGAGAGCGGAAGCAAGGCTCCAGCCAGGCAGGGCTTGCTGGGAGAGTGTCTACAAATTCCAGGAGCCCACACAGCTGGAACCAGGCAGGCCCAGGCCCTCTATGTAGCAACACCCACACAACTGATTCATCACCCCCAGCCCTGACAGCTACATCCTCTTAGTGTGTCCAG